TAGAAGAGAACTTTTGGTATGCAATCATCACTCATCCTTGCTACATGGCCAGCCCAACGTAGCTGTGATTGCCTTATGTAGTTGTTATGCCTATTGATGGTACTAATCTTGCATTTCTCAAAAAGGTCAGCATTTTAGCATCAAACGTTATGATGATTTATATATTAGGTTGGTGCAAAAATAATGACGTAATAATGTCGTTTTTTGACGTTAAAAAATACATCAAAAAACGACATTATTACGTCATTATTTTTGCACCAACCTAATATATATATATGTGTGTGAAAATATATAGAAAATAGGAAAAAACTGGTTAGGTAAATAATCCAAAGTTCCTTAGTATTTTAGTTATTATTTTTAAAAAATAGTGCTCAATACAAAAGTAGAGCTTACTTTAACTCAAATAATTATATTGAAATTTTCGGCTCTTGTTTTGAAACATGAGACCTCTTATGTCGCAAGTTGGAATCATATTTTTTTAAATAATTATATATATATATATATATATATATATATATATATATATATATATATATATATATATATATATATATAAACAGTTAGGCAGTAACTTGCAGTAGTAAGGTGATTACCTTATATACCACCGGACAAGTACAATTTGACAAACAAACCAAACTCACATGGTGGGTAGGGTAGATCATTCAGTCAAGATCTAAAATGACAAAAAAAAAAAAAAAAATTCAACCTGGAAAGGCTTGCCATTTTAGCAAAAAAGCACCCAATAACAAGAGAAACTGGTGTCATGGTACAGGAGCTGAAGCATTAAGCCAAAAAAGTGCTCAAATGGACCAGACAACCAAATTCACACTAGAGCATATATATATATATATATATATATATATATATAATTCCAAGGTTTGAATAAGCAGTTCTAAATAAGTCTGCCCAAAATTAACCTTCTGGCATGAAAGTGCTCAATGTCATAAACTTGACTGAGCATTTGAATATTAATTGTGTGCAAGCACATGAAACTTAGTAGTGGCCAGTCATTGTCTATTTGGTTATTGAATTAATATTCAAATGCTGTCATTTTTATGGCATGTAGCACTTTTATGCCAGAAGGCTAAATTATATATATATATATATATATATATCATCATAATTTATATGCGTTAAGCAAAATTTATGAAGAAATATAATTCAAACACTTCTTGGCCTTCTGACAAAATTTTCACAATTTCAATTTTACTTAAAAGACCATGAAATTTGAAATTTTATTTCCTGTTTCGACAATAAACACTAAAAGTATCGTTTTTCCTTTTGGTTAAAGAAGGCTTGGCAGGATGTGCTCGCTGATAAACAAGATGATGCGGAAAAACAAAACTTCCACTACAATTGCGTAAATATTATCGTGTATTTTATGAGAATAATAAGAATAAGAAATATATAGATATATAAGGTGTGCTGAAAAATTCTCAATCTGAACCACTTCCCATTGAACCTTAAAGAAAAAAACATTAGAATATTGATTTTGGGAAGTGGGTTGGGCCAAAAATTTTTCAATGTTGATTTTTGTGTGTGTGTGTGTGGATGGATCAATAAGTTAGTAGCCTGTCATGTCATTATTATCAGAATTTTTCACTGTATAATACTCAATGTTTTTTTTAATGTTGTTCACCTAACACAAGTCTCAAGAGTCACTCAGGGTAGAGGGTTACTGAATTAGATTGTTGAAAGTCAATAACGATTGATCCTAGATTGTTTAAAGTAGATAACCATTGATCCTAGACTTTTGAAAGTAGATAATGGCTGATCCTAGATTGTTGAAAGTAGATAACGGCTGATCCTAGATTAAGACTGTAATGATCAGGAAAGCATCTTCTCAGAAGTCTGTTCCATAAAGTAGTGGTTCTTGGGAAGAAGTTGTCTTAATGGAGTTTCCCTCTTTGGACTACGAAGTCAACCCCTCATACGTAGCATGGCTGGGACTAGCTGTAAAGAACTGAACTCTGTGCCACAATTTGTGGTTCATGGTGACATTCAAGGCAGAATAGTGCAATAGCTTGCTGGTTCCTTTTGCACCCTGAGGATGTTGAGCTTACCCAGCCCCTCCTCTCAGATAGTGGATTTGTTTTTGATGTTACCTTTTCTGAGCCTTTGCCTAATAAGACAAGAACTACAAAGTGGTTTGAATTCAGTTTCTCTGTCTCTAACCAAGTCTATAGGACCCAGTCTGGGGAGGGGGAGCTGGATTCATACCTTTCCCATAGGTATTAGCATGTAAGTCAATGTAATGAACTTGACTAGAATTCAAACTCAGCTCTCTGATTCCTCAATCTAAGCTTCTAACCATTTACTCCACCATGCCCCCATTTAAGAAATAGCAACAGAGTAGTGAGAGGCTCATGATATTTAGTCTGCTGGAAAGGAGTAGTAGGAACATGGGGTTAAGTGCATTGACAAAGAAGGAGATTATGTGGAAAAATAAATTTTTTTAATAAAATACAGGTTTTTCATTAAGCTAGAACCTTATTTATAAGAGAAATAGATACATAAATAATACATTAGGGTCCTCCATTAATTAACGAAAACTAAGGTTTAAAATGAATTTTTAAAAATGAAAAATCTTTCTTAAAGTTTTCATTTTAGCTTTAATTGAAAACTAAAAGATTTAATTTACTATTTCCAAAATACTCTGGTGTATTTCAAACAGAAATTATATGGATTGGAATTGATTTTTTATTTTTTAGCTAAAATAGCTGATTTGCTCACTTTTTTAGTTGCCTTTCATTAAAATGTAATTCTCTTTATTAAAAAATCTTCCAAAAAATAAAATATACTTTTCTGAAGCTTTATTTGAGGAATATTAGTAGGCTTATAAGTATAATTAACCCTAGAACACTAACCATCAATTAAAATTACGCCACTACTAACTATGGGTATATCATACCTGATTTTGAAAATATCAAAAAAAATATTAAATATAAATCTTTATTTGAAATATTTTACATGCAGGTACTTCAAACTTTGAGTTAACATTAATAGGAACTGAAAAACATTATTTAAGTAAGAAAATCAGGTACTGAAAATTGTAATTAAAAATAGGAAAATTTGCGCTGGGTACTATATAACCATGGTTAGTGTTCTAGGGTTAATCTGATTTGAGTATTTACTTTATGTTTAAAATACTGCAGAAATGAATTTTAATTAAAAAATTATTAAAATTAAATGTAAACAAATCTTGTAAAAAAAAAATCATTATAGATCAGAAATTTTTTTTTTAAGACATTAGTGTCCTTAATAAATCTTATTTATAAAAGCAATTAAAAGCTTTTCTGATTAAATAATGTCATACCTGGGCACCTTGGGGTGGTGTAATGGTTAGCAAGCTTGTCTCGCTAGAACGATTACGACTGAGTAGTGAGTTCAATCCCCACTGGGCGCCCCATACTTTCAGCCTTGTGCCACATCTGAGCTACGCTTGGAAAATCAAAATAATGTCATAGTTTTATTGCATTTTTTATTTTATGATTCAGAGCAGATTTTCAGAAAATGAGTAAAAGTTTGAAAAAAAAAAAAAAAAAAAAATTGATGATTTACATTCTCCAACGAGTCATGCTTTTAACTGATAAAACAAGTTTGGGAATTAAAATTTAATTTCTCAAAATTTCATGAAATTAAGTGGTGGTGGTGAGTAATATATGCAAAAAGAAAAATTTTTTTACCAAGATTTTCTAAAAAAAACTTTTTCAAATAATTTCATTTATTAGTGAATAAATCCTGAAAGTTTCATTAAAATCCAACAATTATTCAATTTTTGCAAGAATTTCCAAATCAATGGGTTTTTTATTAGAGAAAAGGTACTTCAACAAACAGTAAAAATTAAGCCAATCGCTGACACAAAAAAAAAACAAAATTTTTAGTCAAAATTTTGAACATGCTAGAAAGGATTAGAGAATGTAATAAAAAAATACTTTGGTCTTTTCTCTTAATAATAACAAACATTTTGACAATAAAACTCTTTTTATTAAGTTTGGAGCCTTTTTTCCTCATGCTATGCTGTTTTTTTAGCGAAAAGTAAAGGTACCTTATATACATATAATAAAGATCGTATTTTACGAAAAAGAAAAATAATAGGTCAACCAGAGGAAGACATCTTTAAGACAAGCATTCTTTCTAATTATAGTATTAATAATAAATAAAATTAGATGTTCACTTATTCTATCCCTTGAGTTTTGCCATGATTACATCCACTTGTCAAGAGACTTGTTTTCAAATGCAAATATATTTATAAATCTATCATGCTTTGAATATTGCTGCCACATGATCTGGCACTCATTATATATGTAGTGATTCTTGATAAAATCCAAAGAAAAATTTGCAATGTCATTGTTCCTGACCTGGCATCTGGGCTCCAGTCACTTCCCCCCTGTCAAAATGTAGCTTCCTTGTACCTTTTCTATAAATACTTTCATGGTAATTGTTCTGATGAACTTTCCTCTATGGTACCTAGACTCTATGAATTTAAGTGCAGTACTAGATTGGTGGCAAGGTTTCATCATTTTACAGTCAAAATTGATAAATGTAATCGTAAATTCTATGATAACAGTTTTTTCACTCGCACTTCTCACTTGTGGAACTCTCTTCTGGTTTCTTGCTTTCCAGTCAAATCTTCAAAAATTTAAATGCAACGTTAATTACTACCTTTTGTCTTCTTAATTCTTCTGCTTTTATTGTTCCCTCTCCTTAATAATGTTTTTCTTTTTTCTTATATCCTTTCACACTCAGTAACCCCCTATGTGTTTGCTGCCTTGCTTCGAGTGAAATAATTAAAAAAAAAAATAAAAGAAGCTCATAGTATGGATAAAATAAGCAAATATTTAATTTTATTTATTACAGTGTGAACATATTCTGCTTGTAATCTGATATATTAGTTGAGAAAAGCAAAACAACAAAATAGAAAACAAAAAGATATAAAATTTATTTTTTAAAAGTTTCTTTTTCCAAATGGAAAGCATTCAAAGAAAAAACAAAAATAATTAAACTTGAGAAAGTTTTGGACCTTTTTTCTTCTGTTTTGTTTTGGGTTTCTGGATTTCTTCTTTGGGTGGTTCCTGCAAAATGATGTATTAATGTATAGCTATTTTAGAGGGCACAATAACCAGATGGACTAACAGAAGTCACAGAAATATATATATATATATATATATAGGTTGCTACACAAACACTCCAGCTATAGCATCTCTAGAAACTTATGATTGACTAGTGGCATTGTTCGCTCGATTCATTCAAAAAATCGTACGACTCATACAGCAATCGCTATCACTTGACTTAAAATATTTTTTGCCCTTCCTGCCTTTAAAGGAGTGCCCTTGTCGTGTTGATGTTGCTACAGGCCTTACTTTGCCTATCTCACACTGCCAATTTTTTTCTAAGCTCTATACTAAAACATTATATCTGTTATAAAAAAGAACTAAACAAAATGAACACAAAAACAATCAGCTTTTAAAAAAGGACTCCTAACTGGAAAAACCGAATGAAAAAAGAATGTTAACATAAATACTTTTTCACGCCCAAACCAGTTCTGCGGAATCAGAATCAACGTTGAGTTTAAGCAAAGTTTAATGAGCCAATTGGAGTAAAGTGCCATGCAGATTTAAGTTTTTCCAACTTGTGACAAATGCAACTATCAATTTTTTTTGCATGCTAGTTAACATTCGTGTCAGTCAGCAGTTGGCTCTCACGCTGGCCAATAGAATCTTCTTGCCTATTTGTGGCAGCCAGCTATTGGTTTCACCTGGCCAGTAAAAATGGCCACAAAACTACATGAAAACTGCCAGAGAAGCATGAAAAAAATCGATTATTTCCATTCGATGGGAGTTGGGAAATGCAAAGTCAGTCTTGGCCTTCCTGCTAACTTGGAGCATGTGCATGTAAATTTTGGTGCAAATCATCAAAAATTGTGGCTGCATTCATTGGTACACACACACACACACATCCTGCCTTTTATAGATAGAGATACATATTCTTCGGTTTATCAACCCTCTACAGGTTATTTAAAGACAGAAAATATTTTTAGATTGTAAGAATGTTTTGGGAGATAATATTGATTTAAAGACACAAGTCTTACTGATTAACCCATAGATGGAAACGAAGAGGTAGATTCATGTTTTTCCCATGGCTAAAGTGAATATAACAGATCGAAATGGAAATGGAACATGGCTCTCAAATTTCCAATTCCAAACCATTATCTATGACACTACTTGCACAGTGAAACTTACAGCCCTTGGTATTTCCAAGCAGTCACCCATTTATGTACTGACCAGGCTCAATGTTGCTTAACCATGGTGACTGTACAAGAATGGCTGTTTTAACATATGGTCGTAAGCTTGCTAAGCAAAAGGAACATTTGTATCAACTTAATCAGATTTTAGATAAGTGTCTGTTTTACTGTTGAAATTGCCAGAGGCAGGCAACTTTAAGTTCTCTTCTAATAATTATTTCTTTTCTATTTCTCACCTGTGGAACTCCTTTCAGGTTTCATGCTTCCCTGCCACCTATGGCCTTCAAAAACTTAAATAAAAGGTTCTTTGATTTCTGACTGGGTAATCCACCGATGCTATATGAACTTGCATCTTATACTTTGGAGGTTTGTCTTTCATGATGACAAAAGTGTTCACGGTCAGGCAGGATTCTCATTTACCAATACGAGAAGGGCTACAGAGGACTGGAAGCGCTGGAGAGCCATAACTGTCCCCGTTTTGAAGGGGCACTGCATATAAAAGAAGTATGCTTAAAGAATCAGACAGAAAAGATGAGCTCTAAAAATAGTGAAAGCGAGTTCAAGTCTCAGAGAGAGCTACTTGTTTATTCTACTTTCATACGGATTTTGTCTCCTAACAAAAGGAACATTTGTAGCAAATTCATCAGATAATAGCTAAAAGTCAGTCAAACAAAAGCTATCAGTTCAGTTCAAAGGTCAAATGAGTATTGAGTTAGTGTCACTTAGGTAAATATTGCAAATTGGACAGCTAAATTGGAATTACAAAAAATAACTTAATAATACCCGCAATGGCAAAAGTATTTTCTCAAGGACACATGGCACAGTGGACAAAGGCGTTAGTTAGATCCAGTGACAGGACCCAAACAGTGTGAGTTCAATACCTGGTTAAGGCAGTGGAGAACTTGGAGAGAGGAATTAACAGGAGATAACTGACAACTGACATCCATTAAACACGGCATGTGGAACTAGAACAGTCTACCCAGTGAGTGAAACAAAGGGTTCAGTTCGACATTCCAACCCCCTGAAGAAGGCCAGAGTGTACAACGGCCGAAACGTTGTAATAAATATGGTGACAAAGATGAGGACAATAGTCTGAATAATGTAAATAGTGTATAAAATGTAGTTTATATGATATATTTTAAATTTAAAATAAAGATATTTTGTAGCACAGTTGTGTGACATTTCATAAACTAAGAGTCAAAGCAATGATCCTGACAATCAGTTGCCTCATCAGTTGAGCATGGAATGTATCTTCTGTAGAAAGATAAAGCCACCCTAAACCTGGCCACGTACCAAGTAAATGCTTATGGTCTCAAATAGAAATGACTGCTATTTACCTATCCCTGATCCAAGTAAATGCTTATGGTCTCAAATAGAAATGACTACTATTTACCTATCCCTGATCCAAGTAAATGCTTATGGTCTCAAATAGAAATGACTACTATTTACCTATCCCTGATCCAAGTAAATGACCACGAGTTACCTATCGCTGAACCAACTAAATGCTTATGGTCTCAAATAGAAAATGACTACTATTTACCTATCCCTGATCCAAGTAAATGCTCACCAAATAGAAATGACTTATTTACCTATCCCTGAACCAACTAAATGCTTAAACTCAAAAATATAATTAAAAAAACTAAATACAAAGGCTCAAATGTTGACCCATAAAAATTAACCAAACCAACTGAAATCTTTGGTTCTAAAGACTGTTTAGTTTAATAATAATGATGATAATAATCATCTGAAAAAATGAAAACTAAAACACATTTTATTTACCTTGGAAATTTTGCGATAGGGATTGAAATATTTTGGATCACGATCAACCAATTCAAGTTCTTGACTTAACTGAAATAAAAGAAACAGAAAGAATTCAATAAAAGTCATATGTGATGCGGAGATACCAATTCATGTCTACAAAAATAGAAGATAAATGTTTTATCAATGCTAATTTTGCTTTTAACTGTTTTCTTAACCTTCTGTTATTTAATAGAGATAATACATAAATTTCTCAAACTAAAATAATAAAAATAATAATTAAATTAAAAAAATTTCAACAACAATAACAACATTTATTCACTTTCCTTTATTAGGCATTAAATTATATCACTTAGCATCATCCATAGTTTACCTTGACTTTGAGTTAGCATAAAGTATATTCATTAGTGTTGGCCAAGAAAATGTTTTCCTTTTGTCATTAATTGTATTGTCTTTTACAGATATATTTTTAGTTATATCCGATTTATATATTATATATATATATATATATATATATATATATATATATATATATATATATATTATATTTATCCAGGTAAAATGAGAACAAATGGATATATGTCCAACATTTAATTAAAAGGTCAAAAGAGAACTAAATATTATTTTTATTTTAGAAAAACAAAAACATGTTAAAATGGAGTTAATTATATTTCAACAATACAAATGTGTCTCCTTATATGGCAATTTTGTTATCACCTGAGGTTTTTTGTAATGTATAATTGTATTGTCAACGTTTTAACATGTTTTTTGTTTAATATCCTAAAATAAATAATATATGTAATATTATATATATATATATATATATAATATTACATATATATATATAAAATATATAATATTACATATATATAAAATATATAATATTAAATGTATATTTAATATATATATATATATATATATATATATATATGAAAGAAAGTTTAATTCAAAAACAAACAATAATCCTATATACAATTATGCTGTTTTTAATTTAATGTCAACGTCAGACGTTTCGTCCTAATAAACCATCTTCAGGACATATTCATAAATATAACATTATCAATACAACAATTGACATACATACATATTAACATTAAAACAGCATAATTGTATATATGATTTTTGTTGTTTTTTCCGTATATATTTTTCTTCGCATTATCGGATCTATATCCATATATTTGCTTACATATATATATATATATATATATATATACATATATATTTAATATATATAATATATATTGCATATATATTTAATATAATATTACATATATAATATATATTGCATATATATTTAATATAATAATATATATTACATATATATTTAATATATATTACATATAATATATATTACATATATTTAATATAATATATATTACATATATATTTAATATAATATATATTACATATATTTATTAATATATATTACATATATATTTAATATAATATACATATATATTTAATATAATATTACATATATATTTAATATAATATTACATATATATATATACATATATATTTAATATAATACACATATATATATATTACATATATTTCATATATTATATATTTAATATAATACACATATATATATACATATATTAATAATAACACACACATATATATATTACATATATATTACATATATACATATACACATACTACATATATATATATTACATATATATTTAATATAATACATATATATATATTACATATATATTTAATATAATATTATATATTATATATTATATATATATATATAATATATATTACATATATATTTAATATAATATATATTACATATATATTTAATATAATATATATTACATATATATTTAATATATATATATTACATATATATAATATATATATATATATTTATATAATATATATATATATATAATATAATATATATTATATATATTATAATATATATTACATATATATTTAATATAATATATATACATATATATTTAATATAATATATATTACATATATATTTAATATATTATATATATATATATTTAATATAATATATATTACATATATATTTAATATAATATATATATATATTTATATATATATATTACATATATATTTTAATAATATATATTACATAAATATTTATATATAATATATTACATATATATTTAATATAATATATATATATTTATATTTATATATATTACATATATATTTAATATAATATATATTACATATATATATATATATATATACATATATATTTAATATAATATATATTACATATATTTAATATAATATATATACATATATATTTAATATAATATATATTACATATATATTTATATAATATATATTACATATATATTTAATATAATATATATTACATATATATTTAATAATATTACATATATATTTAATATAATATACATATATATTTAATATATATATATATATATATTATATATTTAATATAATGTACATATATTATATATACATATATATTTAATATAATATTACATATATATTATATATATTGTACATATATATTTAATATAATATATATTACATATATATTTAATTAATATATATTATATAATATATA